TTAAAATTTTGTTTGCAATTTTATTTAAGACTACATGCATGCATGCATACATATCTCTATCTCTCTCTCTCTCTCTCTCTTTCTCTCTCCCTCTCTCTCTCTCTCTATCTCTCTATACTTAAATTTATATTACAAAACACTAGTAAAAATGTATGCCTTTATGCCTGAAATTATTATTGTATGTGTGTGTGTGTGTAAAAGTGATTATTTATTTATTTATTTTTTTTTCCTTCTTTAATACCATTAATCTTGTTTGCGTAATTACGGCATACAACTGACTCCCACTGAACTAAGCCATAGCATAGTCCCGCTTAGCTAAGGTAAAGTAAATTTGTGTTGTGTTGTGTTGTGTTGTGTTGTGTTAATATCTCGTTCACATAATTTCGCGCACTTTACTATATATAGTGTAAACATGAAACATAAATAAATAGCTTATTATGTATTGCATATGAATACTTACATATATGCTTACTTATATAAATATATAAAGAAAGAAGGCCTAATTTATAATATGTTGAAGGTGACAATAATGATGGAGTAAAACGAAAGCATGCTCGCATAGATATACTCGCGCTCCACAAGGCGGGATGTAGTAACTTCTTTTCTCCATAGCATTTAGACATGATTTGTATGCGTATTAGCAGTGGCAATTCAACTGGAAGCGGTTGGCTTTTGCCCGTCGGATTAAGTCTTACCAACAACAGTAAAAGCTGCGATGCAACGATCTCTTCTGTCTATCAACGCACCCGATACAGAAGCACGTCGTTTAGCGCGAGTTCGATCTGACCTATATCCGGCGACTCGCCATAAAGGGCTCTTCGTATCCATATTATCAAGAGAAACTTTCGAGTCGGGGTTCGTGACAGTGATTACTGCCGATCACTTCTTATACACTTTTTTGCACTCGAACGTAAAGTCACGAAAAGAAAAGAAATAGACCTGACTAGGGGAACCAGTGAATTTGAGCATTACTTAAGATCATGTATGTAATTAATTGTTTCTCCTCTTCCTCTCTCACTCTCCCTCCCTCTATCTCTCTCTTTCAATATAATAATTACAGATACGCCTCTAGCGATATAAGGACTTGTGCCAGATGGATTCATGGTTACTCTTGAATAATTCTTGATCAATGACATCTGTCTCTCTGAGGTGTAGCTATTTGAACTAACGTTGAACGTAATTTTGAGTAAATTTTGTCCTCTGGCGAAAAGGCAAATTCTCTTGAAAACGGATCGGATCTAATCTGAAGCTTTTATTACAACCACATAAACATGTTATATCAAATTTCTAATTTTTATTATTTCTCAATAAAAATCCATCAAAAGTTGTACTTTGGCATACAAAATCAATGTGCAAAATTTGGATAAAAAAGGGAGGGGACCATCATTAACTCTCCTCTATATGCTAGTTCCTACAGCGGCTGTGCCTTTATAAAATTGAATAAATCCTCATTTTTGGTATTTTACGACAAAAGTTGGTTCAAAATATGGATTTGAAGTCTTAATTCACTATATTAAGTATGGACAATATGAGACGCCGTATAAGGGTAACAATCTAAGAACTACGCCTTCAGATAGCAATAAATTATAATTTTTGATGACAAAGATAGGCGTAGAGTACTAAATTTGCTGGCATATAAATTTAAACTTGATTTAGATTTGGACTATGTTCGTTCAGATGTTACCAAATATATCGACTTTCATCGCAGCTAAACCCTTACGTGGAAAAATGGCATAGTTCTTGGTAGTTTATGTCGAAGCTTCATGAAGAATTTTATTAAACGACATTGTGTAGGGTATTGAAAATTGGTTTTGTTCGACAATTATTTCTCAACTTGTTTTCCCTACGATTTAGTAAAATAACTTTTCGGCCGATACTGTTATCACGTCCATATTGATGGTTAAGCATTCCATACGATACCGTTAAATTTGTTTTAAAAAAGTTCCAAGTCAATTGCTGTATTATGTCGTCAGTCCATGTCTCCTCATTTATTGATGACAAAAAAATTTATTAAAAAAAATTTCAAAATATTTCAAGGGTTAAAAAAAAAAAAAAATTTATGCGGAAATTTTAATCAAAAATAACACTTAATTATAATTTTATTTGCAGACGTGTATCGTGTTGTTTTTACGTTAAGGTAACACGGTAGACATGACATCAAGTTATTACAATCATGTTAAAGCTGTTTGTAATTTTCTCCTAATTGGTAATTGGGTCGTGGCATCATTTTTGTTTTGGTTTCCTTTTCACCATTTCGATGCAATCAAATGAAAGTGTTGACCTTTAAAGTGTTACATAAGCAGTAAAATGATGATGATCAGTTTACAGCAGTAATAACATGCATTTAAACCAATAATTAATAACATGTTTTGGATGAATTTAAGAAAACGAATTTTTTTAACAGGTTCCGCAAAGCCAAAGATAACTTTTAACGAATAAAGTATACATTAAGAGAGTAAATAAGCCATACATTATTTAACCCTTTCAATGTACGATATATATATAGAAGATATTCGTTCGTATCGTTAAATTAATATACAAAAGTATTGAAGAACGGCATCAAAGTCGTATTGACATCATTTATTTAGTCGATGATATAGAACGTGGTATAGAAGAATATTGAAGGCAACGTTTTGACAGATAGGATAGGAGTGGTGAGCAGCCCTTGTCAAAAGATGGACTCAATTAGTTGTTTGTTCCAAAAAAAAAAAAAAAAAAAAAAAAAAAAAACTATATTTATTGCCATTAAGTCAAACGTAAATCCCGTCGTAAACATTAAGATCATCTTATGCATTAACGTGGTTTAACGCTCACACTCTGCAGTTGTGTCCGCGTAATTGAGTTAGCTCAAGTCTAGTTAACAAGGCGAAGAAACTAAAGCATATGTAACCTGAATGAATAAAAATAAAATATTGCGCTTCTAACAAATGCATTTATAGCACTATAGTGATCAAGAAGTAGTAACACTTGCTTGCCTCTGCTTATAAGCTATGTATTCGGGGAAACGTATCTATTACCTTGAGAGGCTTATAATAATAGATTGATGCATAATTATTAGGCATAAATTTATGAATGCAAATATTCGATGAATATTAGGTTATAAAAATTGCGTCTCGCTAATCATACTTATATTCGTTATATTATGCTGTACGAAAGGCTGTGAGAAAGGACGGAAAGCGATCTCAGCGAACTTTTCAGTGAGAGCACCATCAGCGAAAGTTGACCCAGTGAATGGTTTGCTCAATTTCAAATCTGGCGACATTTACCTTGGAAGATAAGTCGGGAAGAGGTCGACCATGGGATTTCGACGACCAGATGCTTTAGGCAGCCGTGCAAGGGAGTGCAAGCTTAATAATGCGAATACTGGCCGACAACTTGACTGTGAACCATTCAACCACGCTTCAGATTAATCATTTTTAAAATCTCACTATTGAATATTTATTTATGTTTCCTTTTTCATAATAAATAGTTCGTTCGAGAACGCTTGATAATATCGTCGAACAACGCCTGACAATTATGCATCAATCTCTTGCTATTTATTACTTTTTGTTTCTTTTCTCATTCTCTTGGCCTGTGAGCGAACTAACCATTGCGAGCTGTCGGTGGCCATTAATTAAATTGTTTCTAAAGAGACGCATATTCGATGCAAAACCTTCATTCATATCGATAAGATTGCCTTAAGCAATTGCAAAAATTTATTTTTAATTGCATAGTAAGTAAATATTAATGTTAAAAATATTGTAACTGATTGGAATATAATGACAGTCAGCTTAATAAAGACCAAAAAAAATATCATTTTCAATTTTCATATTATTTTAGATGAATGCATGAAATAGTTACGGGACAAATTCTTGAAAGATTTTGTCGATCAATGCTTTGGCATATAAAAATCAAAAGTTTCCCATGGAAATGCGTAAGAAAATTGATTGGTTTTTGAATATGCTCCTGATATCTATCGATTTGCAAATTTTAAAAAATTATTCCTAACTAACTACTTAATTATATCCAACTATCTTATGAATGATGTCCACGAAACATTACTGGCCTATAATGACCGTTAGTCAGCTGAAATGTCATCTTTCAAATACCCAGGACGACGACATAATGTGATGCATGTGAGCTTTATGCTACGCGATAGACAGATTCGAATAATGCCTTGATCATTAGGCAAACGCACTAAGCGATGCGACCTACTACTGTTGTACAGTTGGCGACACTTGACGACATATAGCTCTTAATACTTTTTTCCCAAGCAATAAGCCTGCTTTGATGAGAAAAGATTCTAAGAATAATTTTCGTAACATTTCAATACTTAACAGCTATCGATGGAATAGCATTGTATAGTATCAAGTAAAGTCATGATTAATTTGTTTTCTTGCTGGGAGGACAACTGGTTCTGGTTAAGATAAAATTTACCGATAAAATTTAGCGGTAAATCAATTCAATATTGGTATGCACGGTTAAGAAATAAATTTACATAAATAATTTTTCATTTTGATTTTTTGTGTTTTATTAACCTTTGTAATCTAACATCGAACCTGTTGGAGTTGCGTAGTAAGTCTATTCACTACTACTCATAATGGTTAACCAGCAATTTTGTTTTTTTTTTTTTTGGTCTGTCTTTTGCTTTGATTTGGCTGCAGAAACTATGTAACAAAAGATGCTTCGCTAACCAAAAGAGACAGTTACAGGCGGTCGGTCTTAAAGAAAGCACGTTATGCATTTTATTAATTTTGTAGTAACTGCTGAAAGTGAAATATAAAATACAATTTTTTTTTTTGGGTTTTTTAAATTATAATTATAATAATTATTAAACAAAATTACGCCTTCATTTCAGTGGTATAATTAAAGTGAAATAATATTGAAAAAGCAAAAAAAAATATATTATACAAAATTAATTTAATAAATTTTTTCAATTAATAAATTCTAATAAAACAAAAAGTCAACGAAAAGTTTATAACAGTTTAATAAGTTAAATCTTTGAAAAACAAAATAAATAAATAAAAAATTACTAATCGAATAAAAAGGCGAGAATGACTGTTTTGAACCGGTCACTTAATTCTAACTCTTTTTAATAACAATAAAAAATTGATGCACTCTCCGCAACCAAAGGTAAAGGCAATAGTCTCATGAATCCTTATACCTATCACAAAACCGTGAATGTGACATCAATCACGTGTACAAATATGCGTCCGAATGGACATACATTCGATTCGCGCGAACAGTAGTGTTAATTTACACAATTCTGCCTGTCTGTCTCTCTGTCCATAGTATATAGATATTCTTTTAATAAGGACTACCATTTTAAAACTTGATAACCATTTTAAATGTGGAAAATCAGCTATGCCGGGCCAAGGCTTAGTTCATTGTTACCATTATATGCCATAGATAAAGCGTAGATGAGCGTATCCGCCTGAGTAGGTAAGAGTCTCGACTAGCAACTCAGTGGTCGTGGGTTCATATCTCAAGTGCGGTAGAGTTTTCAATAAAGTCGAAAGCCTTAGATGCTTTAAGTGCTTTAAGACCTTAGTCTTACTATTTATTCTCTGGATAAATTAATAATAAGACTAATAATAATAATAATAAAGCTAAGCGTATCTATATTTTTCAATTAAGTTACCTAAAAAGCGTTGGCCACATGTATGTAAATTAATATATACAATATATATACAATACACGATTCGTATATCACATAAATCCATTCGTTCTATTTTTCAACCAACTATCTCACACACTCACAAACATGTAAAGGAAAGTAAATATAACTAATTATTTCCTTACATTCTCCAATTTGATTTGATTTGGATTAAGACGGACAAATCAATCGGCCCAATACGTTTAACTATATTATTGCACTAAACAAGTAAGAAAATTCGTTCTATAGTCAATCGTTGGCATTCACGATCTCAGTAATCAGTAAGCGTATAGTAAGCGCCCAATTCTGCAGTAAATGTTTCAATATTGTCCTGCCGCGACTTATACTGTAGATACGTTCTCGGAAAAATCGTGCAAAACGAAACACGAATTTCATACGATAGAGGGGGATGTGTTCAATTAATCTGTCAACTGTGGAAAACGAAACACGAATTTCATACAACAGAGAAGAATGTGCTCAATTAATCTCTCAATCGTGCAAATCGATCTAAAGAAGAGAAAGTAATATTAGACATATATTTGCTCTAATCGTGTAAAATGAGATAAGGATTAAAGAGAACAAAAGATGATTGGGGCATCAAGTTGAATATTATGCCGATGGTGTTTTTTTTTTTTTTTTTTTTAGAGTTTTCAAACTATCCCTTGCTCACTACACTCATGCAGTAAATAGAATTTGTTGGTTTTCTTTTAGAGAGCTAAACACACTGAGCCCCTGATATTTTATCGAATTAGAATCTCAAGTAATTTTTTCTGTGTATTGTCATCTGTACAAAGTACTAGGGCTACTATATCTACTAAGTTGTATCGATTATAGTCAAGTGGAAAGTGGAAAGTTTAGCGATTACAGTAATAACGTTTGCAGACGGACCACGCCCACTTTTAAATCTGATGCGTAGTCATCACCTAATTTTCAGGTTTTTTTTTTTTATTTTCATAGCTCGTACGCTCATAAGAATTTCGACAAGCGATCGTGCATCTGCCCATCCGCTTTAGTTAATCGAATCAGCCCCGTACTCTGATCAGGAGCACATTTCTACTTTGTTTGTTCTTTGAATGTGTATTTCTTGATATCATGACTGCAATGTCGAATCATTATTACCAAAAATATGTGATGGCCGCAACCAATTGATTAGTGTCTTAACGATGAAAAATGTCGTCTTCTTTCTGTTCAAAATGCATTTTTCTCTCGTTAAAACGTTACATTCGGGTAAGATCGGTCTGCTTGAAATGTTCAGGTGGTGCTCCTTGTGAATAATGATTAGGTAGATAACCACAAAAAATCAATAATAGGAGGAGTAATGCTTAAAAATATCGCGTGCGATTTTTTTTTTTTTTTTTGTATAAATTGACTTTTGTTAAAAGATTAGCAGAATTTTATCCCCACTTTTGTAATTGCCCACCTACTGTCATTTCGAGCTTTGTGTTGGGGAGCTATCAGAGAAGTAGGTGTATGTAGTCAGAATATATTGCATAGTAAATCTATATATCAAATGATTATTTTGGACTAATTTTCATTATGAAAGACTAAAGACTAGACTGCAGTGGCATATGGTGGCGTATTGTTTATAGCAATCCCACTCCAACCAAATTTTCCCAACTCGTTCAGTATGTCAAAATATCAGTTATCATCGGGTTTTTTTCATATCATTTGACGATTAAAATATATGAGTTGTCAAATTTGAATATAATATTTCGGTTGGACATAAGGACAGACATTAAATGGATACGAAAGAGATGCTTGAGTCAATTCAGAAAATGAATCTGCATCGCTTAATATAATAAAATATGGTTGTATCTTAGATCGATCTGGGGGGAGGCTGCGTGCACAAACCACTGCGAGTGGTAAATAAATTCACTACAAAGTAATGGCTCACTCAGTTATAGTTAAGATCAAGTGTCTTAATAATTACTTACGACTGGCTCGTCTACGATATTTATTTCCAAGAATGAATGAAGGTTCGTTGACATCGCTTTTCGCATATCGCTTATGTAGAAAGTATTTCTCCGTTTTGATAAAGCATTTTTTTGTAAGCAAGAAGAACTCTTCCCTAAAAGCATCATAATGTTTGGTTAAGAAAATTACCGGAACAGTCGGAATGCGATCAATTTTCAAAATATAGACTTTTTATATGATGGAAAGCGTCTGATTCGATTTGAATTGAAAAGCTTGCGGGGATATCAGAGAATTATAACATTATCGGATTTAAACTCAGTGCAGTCTATGTGGTGGTATGTGGTGTATAACGTATAATGAAATCTTAGCAACGTTTAAGCAACAAAAAGCAAAAAATGTTATTTCTTAATACTTTTCGATTTTTGCTTTTTTAATTGTACAATAATTTTATTATAAAAATATGAGAAAGAAAAAAAATTGAAAATATTTTTTTGGTAAATATTTTTACGATTAAAAACCAAACTACCAACATGGATAATACATACGATATATATATATATATATACATATTATATATATATATACTATTTATCGATATGTATATATATACATATATATATATAATTTACTTTTATGACCTAATTTTTGTATGAAAACTAAAAACTATTAAAAAAAAAAAAAAAAAAACCGCAACACACTAACAAAAGAAAACTATGTAAACGATTGCCGAGGTTTACCACTAAACTAAGCGAGCTCTAAACGTCTAAAAAAAAATTGTGAATGTTGCAACATCTTCATGGACGGCCAGACTCTCTATCTCTATTATAACAACAAAAGCAGCGTGAAACTAGTTAAAGAAAAATGCGCCTGGAATTGCAAAAGCATGCGGTAACAACTAAAAACTAATTTTTCTATCGTGGTCTGTTGAGAATCGCAGCCAATCAAACCAAACCAAACCAACTAAACGAACTAAGCCAACCAGCGCATATAACACCAAAGCGCAACTCTCGCGCTACTTTGTTTATTTATTTATTCGCTAAGAAAACGAAAAGCGCAAAAAATTCAGCGATTTGCCACGACGTGTTTATTCATCTGCAATTTCTTGTTGGAATTTGATGAAAAGAAGAAGAAAAAGAAGAGAAAAAAAAAATAAATAAAAAAATAAATACAAAAACAATTGGAATCCTGTTTATGACCGAGTACGAGCTATACCACCAAATATATACCGCATTCATGTATTTAAAATCTTAAGTATTAAGGCTCTAGCAAGCACTTTCCACAACAGCAACAGCAACAGTAATTGCAGCAGCAGCAGCAACAACAACAACAACAATAATAATAATAACAATAACAATTGCGATGCATAAAAATGTAAGGCAATGTTTTATTTATGTATATCTTTATAAAAAAACGTAACAATATACCGGCTTTTCAGCCGCAAATGGAACCTTTAAAAGAATACTCAATACGAAATTCCCGATTTTTATACACCTTTTGACTGTCATTAAGTCATATGAAGAAAAGTCTAAAGTGGATTTTTTTTTTTCAAAAAAATTTGTTGTAACCTATGAGGTGCGGTATATTTCATATCAATGGACAATGGACTTCAAATTTTAACGAGATTTTGTTTTTGTTTTTTACGTTCTCATCATCTATGAAACTTATATCAAAGACATCGCTGAGCGATATTTTTTAAAGTTTCTGCACATAACGCTAGTAATACTTGCAGCTTAAAACGCGTAAAAAAGTTATATGCAGTTAAGGTCGAATCTTGTTTACCCACCAACGTGCATTTCGCGGTATCAATAATAATCTTATCCTTTATAATATATGGTGGGTGTGGTCGTCGACACTGGATATACATTCATTTTTGGAATAAAAAAAATCTCACGATACTCTTTCTACTGCAGTAAAAAAATTGAAAAAAAAAAAACTAAATTAACTGGAAGTGGGCGCGGTTCCATCTTTCCGAATTAAAAGCCAATGAATGTATATTCATTTTTAGAATTCATAAAATAATTTTCAACATTATGTTCTTTCTATTTCTCGCTAAGTAATAAAGAATAAAACGTCAATAACTGGGATCATCAACAATTTTGTATGGGTGCGGTCGATATTTGCCAATTCGAAACATAAGTAATAGGGTTGCGAAAGAAATAACTTTGGAAGAGTGCAGCCTTCTATTATCCATAATTTTGCGAATACTGAGGGAAAACTGGAAAGTTGTTACTGAGATTGTGGGTGTGTCCTTAGATCGATTGCAGTCATTTTGAATAGCGACCTGTGTACAAGAAGTTTCATTATTTTGTCAATTTTTGCGAACGAAAGGAGACTAACCGGAGTCGATTCAGAACTTTACTCTGTTTAAGGATATGCACGCATATATATATTTATATGGTCTGTGCAGCTTCCTTTTGGGCTGTTGTTGCAAACATTATGCCAAAATAGATAGACTCCCATTCCAACTACCGTTGGTGGTTATAATAAACGGCTACATTTAAATTAAAATTTTTGCTGGCAATGCCGATTTGATTAAATAATTTCTAATATCCAATAATTTCTA